GGACGGAGAAACCCGGGGCGCCATCTCTCGTAAGGTAACTGTTGCCCCTTCGCGTACCCAGGTCTCCGTCACACAAGCCAGGTCAACCCCTGCGAGGTAAAGAAATCTTCGCAGAGTGGCGGTTTTGTTGCCTATAGACCTGGCATTGCACAACACCAGTGACGGAGGTGAGTAATCCTTGCTCACCCTACCCTCGTCCCTCGGGATGGGGCGCAGATTGGAAGGGGTACGAGCATATCCGTATCTCGATCCCCTTCGCCTATAACATCTGCCCCCACCACCATACCTCCCTCGCCCTCCACGGTAGCAATCCCAAGCCTCATACAAGCCTCCATTTACAAAATAGAAAACCAAACCAAACTGAAAACAATTCTACCTAAGCAAAACCAATCCCCACCCCAAACCACAATAAAACAGAACAAAATAAAAATACATAGATAAAAACCACTGTTCACGGTGGTACAATAACGTAAGAAGTAAAAACACCTTTAAAATACTTTAAAATATATAAAAACATTTTTAACAATTGCTGCGGCAGCACCAGTGTCCTTAAAACTGTAGCGGAGGTGAGTCTGGGCCCCGCCCCTAGGCCAGGTGGAATCAGCCTGAAGAGGGAGCGGCCTTCCCCAACACTCACGGTGCAGCAGCAGCGATGTCCCAATGCCTCAGTGAGGCTTCTTAAAGCTGTGGCGAAGGTGAGTCTGGGCCCCGCCCCCTAGGCCTGGTGGAATCAGCCTGAAGAGGGAGCGGCCTTCCCCAACACTCACGGTGCAGCAGCAGCGATGTCCCAATGCCTCAGATGCCCCAATGCCTATCTGTTTCCCCTGCAATCTGAAGATGAAGGGGAACAGTGTATGCATTCTACATCAAATTCCCTTCTCACATATGTTGCGCTGTGCACCAGAATCCTTGGCAGAGCACGCAGATGGGAAAAATTCATAAATATATCAGCAAACAAGTCAATGTTTCCTGTAGATATAAAATTTGATAAACACGACTGTGATGAGCAGTAGTGGATAGTGTGCTTGGATGGCTCCCCTCACCTGCCAGTCATATTGCTGTTGCTTACTGGGAGGTAGATGGGAGGGGTGAGGTTGGTAAGGTATAAATGTACCAATGGGGTTGATCTTGCTGCTGCCTCCCCACTTTTACCTCCTGGTAAAGGTAAAAGTACCCCTGCCCGTACGGGCCAGTCGTGTCCGACTCTAGGGTTGTGCGCCCATCTCACTTAAGAGGCCGGGGGCCAGCGCTGTCCGGATACACTTCCGGGTCATGTGGCCAGCGTGATGAAGCTGCTCTGGCGAGCCAGCACCAGCGCAGCACACGGAAACGCCGTTTACCTTCCCGCTATAAAGCGGTACCTATTTATCTACTTGCACTTAGGGGTGCTTTCGAACTGCTAGGTGGGCAGGAGCTGGGACTGAAAGACGGGAGCTCACCCCACCGCGGGGATTCGAACCGTCGACCATGCGATCAGCAAGCCCTAGGCACTGAGGTTTTACCCACAGCGCCACCCACGTCCCTCCTGGTAAGAAGCAGCAATGCAACCAATCAGAAGTCAAGTCAGGGCCACCATCCCACCATGCCATCTGCAAATTGTGACAAGTGTGCTGATGAAATGGTGCTATGATGGGGCCATAAGAATATCCATCTCTCAATATTTGTTAAAATTTTACACACTTGCAGGACAAGTGTTGATTTATGTCATTTACCCCAGCTTCACTGAACTTTATGAGCCACTACATCGTATTGTGTATTTAGGAATCCACATAAAACCAATACAAATTCAGACATTACATTATATTACGGTATTTACTTGTCTACAATTTACAGTTCAAGAAAAGTGATGTTAAAGGTAGGGGCAGTTTAATTACAAGATAGTCAGCAATCCTTCATATTGGGGTTCTTTCCACAAGAGTTTTCTTTCTTTTTTGAGCTCTTTAAACAACTTATGGTTAAACTCATATATTTAACATTCATATCAATGGGGGGGAAATACTGGTTGCTATACTGGCCCCAGTTCAAGGTGTTAACAGCCCTAAATGACTTTGGCCCCAAATAGCCAAAAGATTGCCTCCTCTGCAGAACCTCTCAAGTTAAAATTGGTTAAAATTGGTAGGCAGGGGCCTCTTGGTAGTTCCAGCACCCTCAGAAATTCAGAGGGGCTGGTGGCCCAGTACAGTCATTCTCTGTGGCAGCCCCCATTTGTGGGATTCCTTCCCCACTGGCAGTTTCACACTATAGTTTTAGGCAGGATAAACCTCTTTATCTTGGCCTTTGACAAAGTGTGTGTGTGTGTGTGTGTGTGTGTGTGTGTGTGTGTGTTTTAGGGCCCACCCTATTCCTTTGACTGTGATTTATTTCAACAGTTTTTAGTCTGAATTTTAAATTGTAACTTGCCTTGCCCCAAGTTCTGCTGCTGAAGGGTGAGGAAAGGGGAGGAGTTTTGAACTGTATGTGGAGCAGGGAAACCCCCAGATTCAAATTTCTTTTAGAACTAGTGAACACCCTACTATAAGAACGTTAGTAGTACAGAGGTTTTAGCTTTCTGCCCCTGCCTGGTCTTCCCTGCTCCTGGGCCTCTGTGTTTGTCTAAGGGCTAAGGAAAGAGGAACATAACCTTCTGTCCATTGCTTGGTCTCAGAACTCAAAGCCAAGAAGATGTTTTAGGTTACAGTTTATGGATATACCTAATTAAATGCCATGTATGTTGCCTAGATTATCAAAACACAAAGGCAAATTCATAATATTTGACAGAACTGCCATTTGGTTTGCATTAGAAGTGAACTGACTAAGGATTTTTGAGTCCACAATCATGTCTATTTTAAATAATAATAATAATAACAGATAAGTATTATTATTATTTAAACACATCAAATATTAAAAGCATAACATTCTATCCACATATTTTAAAAATAGATGTTAATACCAGAACTCTCTTTCTCTCTCTTTTTCTCTCTCTGTGTGTGTGTTTGTGTGTAGTTGTAGTAAATAAAGAGCAACATATATATATATATATATATATATATATATATATATATATATTTGAAATATTTGATTTCAGAACCTTGGTTTTTGGGGTTTTGGGGTTTTTTAAAAATAAATATTAGCTTTCTTGACAGCATTGTTTGCTTTGCCCCAGGGGACCAGCTTTGCTTTCTGAAACATGACAACATGTCTCATGACCTCAAAACTGGATTAATTATTAGTCTAAGTAGGTTGTAGGTACATTGTGAACTTGCTGTGGTAAGATTTTCCTGTCGTGCAATTTTCAGGGAGTGTGCCTTCTTCCCAGAAGACTGTACCTAGCACCAGCTCCAACTTCTGGGGTGTGTTGAGGCAAAATGTTTTTAATGGAACCCACTTTCTGAATGTATCCATTTCCTCCTCCAAGATGGGCAGAGTTTGCTGCTCCCTTTGCTCCAAGGAGAAGGAACAGTAGGGTCAGGACTGTTCCAGCAATTGGCAGTGGGGCAAATGACAGATGCCCAGTGAGATCAACTCCTGATCCTGGCACTGAGTACACCTATGCTATTTCCAGTGCTGCTAAATCTTCCTCTGTTTAAGTGTAACAATAGACACAGTTGCCTCTCATTATCTCAAAGTGGATGGGCAGTGGGGAATCAAATGCTGCACAGGAGATGACAGGCATTGCCTATGAGTAGTGTTTGCAGGACAAGTAAAGGTGCCCCCTTCCTGGGGTCTTTTCCCATGTGGCATATAGGTCAGAGTAGTGCCCCAGAGTATGATTCAATATAAGCATTGAATGAAACTTCCCAGAGGGTCATAATTCCTTGCTGCATGACCTGAGAACATGATGGTCTCGAGACAATTGTTTCATTGATTAGCCCGGTTCATTCCATTGCTTTAGTAATTTTATTGATCAAATTTGTTTTACATAAACCTGCATACATTTTGAATGTAGGGTAAACTCTAGTTGAGTCACAATATCCCAGCCTCATCTATTCTTCAGGATTGTTGTGAGGATAAAAGCAAAAGGAAGAGATGGGGAATACAACCTGGAGTACTAGAAAGTGAGGGCAGACCCTCCAAATGTCCCTATTTTTCAGGGATGTCCCCAATTTAGAGACACTGCCCTGGTTTCTGATTTGATCCCAGAATGTCCCATTTTTCCTTAGGACATCCCTATTTTCATTGGAGAAATGTTGGAGGGTATGGAGTTATCCAACCTCCGAGCTGTCTGAAGGCAATCCTGTATAGGTTTTTAATGTTGAATATTTTATTATGTTTTTATCTATGTTGGAAGCTGCTGGGGCAACCCAGTTAAATGTGTGGGGTATAAATAGTGAAATTATCATTATGGAATGGGACGTCCCTATTTTCATCGGAGAAATGTTGGAGGGTATGTGAGGGTAGTACAAGTGAACAACCAAACATCAGGTAAAGCTTTATACTCATATTCAGGCCATCAATATGAGATGTGTGGCTCAGTTTTGGATTGTTTATTGTTAGGATATCTGATCCTAAGGGGTCCGGTTCCAGTCACCTGCCCCTGCTGGTACCAAGAAGGAGACAAACATACTCCAGGGTGGGATTCACGGAGAAAAAGGCTTTATTGCAAATCTGCGCAGAGGTAGCCAGTGGAATAGTTTCCAAAGACTGGCCCCCCCTCTATTGTCTTCCAAGCAGTCTTATACAGTAATTTCAAGCTTGCCCCCAGTTGCTCCCCAATCAACAAGCAGAGACACATTTCATTACCTTATTGGGCTAGCTAAGCCCTCCCCCCCCATTGCATTTTGTTTGCTTCTGCGTTAAAAATGTTTGCATTTTGCAGAGCTGAGGTGAGAAGTTAGCTTACCACAAGGCTCACCACAACTGAAGCAGATATGAGCCACTACCGGCCTATCAAGCTGGGTTTCTTTTGCTTCAGCTAAGTATGACTGCAGACAGGAAACCACTGTCTAACCGCAGAGCTAACTTGCAAGCTAGAACAATTGTTTAGTTGAAGCTGGCTAAAAGCACAATGGAGGTTTTACCTTCCCCCCATCTCTTCACTCCTCTTCCTTCACTCCCTCCTCTTCTTCTTGATCACCGCCAGGTGCATCAACAGGGATAGGGCGATACTCCCTCAGGTAAGCTATCACACGGGGGCCCATCATGCGAGACATCATTTTCTCCATCATATTCTGCATGCATTGCATCAAGCAGGGAATACAGAAGCAGAGAAGCAGTAAAAGCACCAGGGGGCCTACCACACATACGGGGGCGTTCATGCCAGCAGAAATACAAAAGCATCAAGAAAATCAGGGGCATACACAGAACCCAAGCCCACCAAGCCCCGGGAGTCCAGGACTCCTCCCACCACATATCAGGCATGATAGGGGCGTGGGGAAGGGCTTGGCTATCAGGAACGTTGGGGGTACTGGCGTTGGGTACCCCTCCCATCCTTATCTTCGGCCGTGCGTAGAGCTATCAGCTTCCCGGAGTGACAGCAGCAGGGCAGTCGTCCGTCGGGCGCCTGGAGATGGTCAGCCGAAGAGGATCTTGCGGGTTAGGAGACACAGTCCAGTCTGAAGATGCTGCCTTCACACGAGTATGGTGGACCCAAGGGGCGATGCCAGCAACCTTGACAGCAGTGGGTGTAGAGAGAAGCACAGTGTAGGGACCCTTCCAGCAAGGCTGTAGCGGAGTTTGGGCCCAGTCTTTTACCCACACATCATCGCCCGGCTCGAAACGGTGTAGGGGTTCGACTAACACACACGGGGTACGAGCCTGGGTCCACCTGTTGAGAGAAAGAAAAGTGCGGGAGAGTGACTGCACATAATGATCTGTTTCAACATCCTGGACCGGGGTGGGGGAAATCATGCGTACATAGGGAACAGGTCTCCCAAACATCAGTTCAAAGGGAGAGAGATGGGTTCGCTTGGATGGGAGACTTCGAACCCGGAGCAGGGCGAGGGGCAACATCGCTACCCAATTGGACCCTGTCTCCTGTGTCAATTTGGACAGTTGATTTTTCAAAGTCCTGTTCATCCTCTCTACTTTTCCAGAACTCTGGGGTCGGTATGCACTATGTAACTTCCAATTTATCTGCAAGAGCTTAGCTATCTCCTGCAAAACTTTGTGCACAAAAGCTGGACCATTGTCCGACCCTATGGAGCGAGGCAAGCCATAGCGGGGAATGATTTCCGGAGCAGACACCTAGCAACTTCAGATGACCGCTCAGTCTTGGTGGGCCAGGCCTCCACCCACCCTGTATAAGTGCACACAGCCACAAGGAGGTAACGATATAGGCCACAACGGGGCAGCTCGGTAAAGTCCACAACCAAATCTTCCATGGGTGCTGTGCCACAATGTTGAACTCCTGGAGGAGGCAGAAGGCCGGCCCTAGGGTTGTTCTTCTGGCATAGGGCACAACGCTTAGAGACTTGTGAAGCCAGTTGATAGAGCTTGGAGATGTAAAACACTTTCCCAGCTGCTTGGTCATGGCATCTGGTCCTACATGTAAGGAATCGTGGTAGCGCTGAACCACTTGGCGGGCTAGGGATTCCGGGACCCACACGCGGTCATCTGGGGTAAGGTACCAGCCATCCTTTGAAATGTCCAGTCCCTCAGTGTTGGCTGTCATTTCCTCCTGGGTGGTATAGTGGGGCTTGAGGCTGGTGTCCAAGACTTGCTCAGGTATCAAGGCAGCAACGAGGGGGGCCGGGTTTGGCCGTCGCGCCGCCTCTTTGGCTATTCGATCTGCCAAACGATTTCCTCGGGCATCATCACTGGATCCTGTCCGGTGGCCGTAGCAGTGGACAACGGCCACTTGGCGGGGTGCCCACACTGCATCCAAGAGATCCAAGAGTGCTTGTGGGTGGGCCACAGGGCTCCCTTTCGAGGTCAGCAGTCCTCGTTCTCTCCAGAGGGCGCCATGAGCGTGCAGGGTAAGAAAAGCATACTTAGAGTCCGTATAGATGTTAATATCTGTACCTTCAGCCAGGCGCAGGGCTCGTGTCAAAGCAGTAATTTCTGCCAGTTGAGCTGATGTTCCTGGTGGGAGGGGGCAGGCTTCAATGACTACATCCTCGAGGGCCACGATGGCATATCCTGCTCTCCGTTGTCCCTCTTCCACGAAGCTGCTGCCATCCACAAACCAGGAAGGCCACGCTGGATTGGCTTCATCCTTAAGGTCTGGTCTACTGGAGTAGACTTCGTCCATGACCTGTATGCAATCGTGGGCTGGCTCCTCTTCCTCTCCTACAGGTAACAGAGTAGCTGGGTTGAGGGCCTCTGTGACACGGAACTTCAAGCGTGGGTGCATCAGCAAAGTCTGGCACTTCATCATCTTAGCTTGGGATAGGAAGTAAGTGCCCTTCATATCCAGTAGGGCGGGTACTGCGTGTGGGGTAACACATGTGATGTCTTGTCCAAAGGCAAACTTGTCAGCCTTATTAAGCAAGCAGGCCACTGCTACTACTGCCCGCATGCAGGGGGGCAGGCCTTGCTCCGTGGTGGTCAGCCTTTCAGACAAATAGGCTATAGGCTGTTGCCAACTTCCTAGTTTCTGGCAAAGGACCCCTTTCGCTGTTCCTTGGTCCTCATCCACATAGAGGGTAAATGGCTTCTCTGGGTTTGGGATTCCCAGTGCTGGGGCCTGTTGTAGGGCCGTCTTGAGGCCTTGGAAGGCTTGTTGCTGCTCAGGGCCCCAGATAAAGGGATCCTTCTCTGTTCCTCTAGTAGACTCATGCAGCGGCCGTGCAATTTCGCTGTAGTTGGGAATCCAAATTCTGCAAAAACCCGCAGATCCCAAGAAACCGCGGAGCTCCTTCCGGTTTCGTGGCTCTGGGATCCGAGTGATTGCCTGCTTGCGTTCATCCCTTAAGGTCCGTCGCTGGTGAGAGATGTCAAAGCCAAGATACTTGACAGTTGTCTTACAAATTTGAGCCTTAGACTTGGAGACTCGGTAGCCTGCTTCAGCCAGGTGATTTAAGAGGTCCCGTGTGGCTTCGTAGCACGCGCTTTCGTCCACGCAGGCCACTAAGAGATCGTCGAAATACTGCAACACAATCTTACTGGGAGTAGTGGGGAAACTGGCAAGGTCCGATGCTAGAGCTACCCCAAAAGAGTTGGTGAATTCTTGAAGCCCTGCGGGAGGCGCGTCCAAGTGTATTGAGTTTTAGTGCCTGTGACTGGGTCAATCCATTGGAAAGCGAATAAGTGCTGGCTCCCCTCCGCTAGGCGGCAGCAAAAGAACGCGTCTTTCAAGTCGAGTACAGAGAAGTATTTCGCATCAGGGGGGATTAAACTCAGCAGAGTGTAAGGATTGGGGACGTTGGGGTGGAGGGTTTCCACAGCTGAATTCACCAGCCTCAGATCTTGGACCGGACGGTAGCCACCTCCCTCTTTCTTTACTGGAAGCAAGGGAGTGTTCCACTGGGATTGACAGGGCTTCAAGATGCCATGTTGTAGGAGCCTATGCAGGTGAGTCCACACTCCTTCTGCTGCCGCTCGAGGGATGGGGTACTGGTTCACAGCCACCGGATTCACGAAGGGCTTCGTCCTTACAATTATTGGGGGTATATTTTTAGCCATGCCAGGAGGGTTGCCTTCAGCCCATACTTCAGGATTTACTTGTTCTAAGAGGCTGGTTGGAATGGGCCCCTCCTCTTCTTTTATCATCATGAGGCGCCAATACTCCCTCAGGGGTGCTTCCACAACCAATTCTCCAGGTGGCATTGTGGACATGGTGGCCTCTCCGGATGGTTTAAAAGTGATCTGGGCTTGTAATTTGGACAACAAGTCTCTTCCCAGCAATGGAATAGGGCATTCAGGAACATACAGAAAATTATGCTGCACCACTTGGCCTCCTAATTTGCAGGTGACCGGTTGTAGAAATGGTGCCTGCTGGGACTTTCCAGTGGCTCCCACTATATTAATGAATTCTGTAGTTAGTTTTGCAACGGGGGTTGGGACGACCGAGTAAGCCGCGCCTGTGTCAACCATAAAAGGAATCATGTGGTTCCCTGCTTGCATTTTGACCATGGGCTCACGGGAACCTAAATTAGTTGGGCCCGGTCTGTCCTAATATTCATCCTGGTGTTGCTGCAGGCTCATGGCTTCAGCCTGTCCTCGGTTCCCAGGCGGGTACCAAAGGCCTCCTCTTCCCCTTCCTCGTCCCCTGGAGGGTCCCCAGGCGCAGCCCAGGGTCTTAAGTCAGTGCCATCTCCCATGGGGATGGTGCCAGGAATCCGGCCTCCCCTGCCTCCAGTCCTTCCCTGAGGGCATTCGTTCTTCCAGTGGCCCTCTTGGCGGCAGATGGCGCACTGGTTGCGTCCCAGGCGGCCGCGCCCTCCTCCCGGGCAGGTTCCCCCGTGCCGCTGTTGCTGGCGCGCAGAGCCATGAGTTTCTTAGCCTGGTAATTTTCTTTCTTCTTCTGGGCTACCTCATCTCTCTGGTTATACGTGGTTTGTGCCACCTCTAACATCCACTCCAGCCCATGTCCTAAAAACCCTTCGGTTTTTGAATTTTTCTGCGAATATCGGGAGTGGCTTGGGCCACAAAGGCTGCCTTAACAACCGGAGCATTGGCAGGATCGTCTGGGTCCAGAGGGGTAAACTGCCGGTAGGCTTCCTTCAGACGCTCCAAATAAACCCCTGGCGACTCATCTGATTTCTGGACCACCTCAGCCACCTTAGCCAAGTTAGTAGGCTTCCTAGCTGCCCTCCTCATTCCTGCCAGTACATGGTTCCTGTATGTTGCCAGGGCAGTCCGAGCATTCTGATCCTGATAGTCCCAATTAGGAGTGGCTCGGGGGTAGGCATCATTTATTTGGTTATCATTTAATTGTAACTGCCTCAGATGCGCCCTTGCCTCACTATGGACCCTCCGGACTTCTTCCGTTGTTAACAGAGAGTCCAAAAGATATTGAACATCATCATAAGTAGGATCATAAGTCTTAAAGATCCCTTCAAAAAGTTTAATGATTTTGGCTGGGTTCTCCTCAAAGGAAGGGTTCTGATTGCGCCAATTGCAAATATCAGCAGTTGAAAAAGGCACATGTTGGATTGTGTAGGTGCGCGGTGCTGCTGCCCCATTCTCCCCTGGCGGTCCTGGGGGGTCATAAACTACCCGGAGGGGCATCAAGGCTGTAGCCTGATCTTTCTTCTCTCTCTCTCTCTCATGGTGGGTGGCGGCTCTACGTGCTGCCTCCAGCCACCTCTTTTGTTTCTTTTTCCAGTGCCCATCCTCACAACGTGCCACTTCTAAGAGGTGGGGACTAACATCCACTTGGTCTTTATAGGGGTCTACATAGTCCTTTATCCATTTGTCTTGCTTCTTACTCCACTTCTCCCCTTCTGTACCTTCTTTTCCAACATCTTTAACAGTGTCTCCTCATCCCCCTCATCATCATCACTTTCATCCTCCTTAGCTGTCTCTGATTTGGTGGGGTCTTTATCCTCAGGGCTTGGGTTGATAGGGCTGCCACCAACTGGGTTGGGGGGATTATTCTGGAGGTTATTCTGCAGGGGTGGGCCATTCTGTGGTACTGCCGGTATTGGGGGTCTATAAGGAGGTGGTCTCACAGCTAATTCCTCTTCTGTGTCCTGAACCACAAGAGGTAATTTCTGCTGCCGGACAGCACAGATCCTTGCCTTTGCTGGAGCAGTTCGGCAAGCCTGCAGCCAAGGGGGGTTTTTATCCACATTGGTTTTCCACGTGGAAATATAGGGAATTTGATCTGGATGGTCTTCAATTATTCTCTGCAGCAAGGGATTGATCAACCGCCCCTCAAAACTGCCTTGGGACGGCCAGGCAGTGCCCTGCGTCGGCCAGTCCACTTCACAAAGGGTCCTAAGCCTCTCCTTCTTCAATTTGAACCCCCAGTCGTCATTTTTCGTGGCCAATTTCCAGTTGTTCAGGAAGCATTCCAAAGGGGTACATTTACTGTTTCCTGAACCCATGTTTACCAGAATACTCCGCTCCTAGCCAAAATCAACACCTTGCCCACTTCACACACTACAGCCTGTGGCTTAGACGAGTACAGCCCTAGACACGCTTGGCCACGGAGACGCTAAGCCCCGACCTCTCACACATTCATCCTTTCACTGGAGTATTTGGTCATACAACACACAGTTCACCTCCACACCCTCACAGTCCACCTCCACCCTTTTTCCCTTTCCACAGACTGGCAAAGGGACCCCCCCTTTTTTACCCTTTTCCTTTCCCACACACTGGCAGCAGGACCTCACTGTCCCAGCCAAGCCTTCCTGGGGGCACTTAATTGCCACACTCCAGGTGAGATTGATCAGATCTCCTGCTCTTTTCTTTCCCAAGAGCTTACCTCTATGTCCTGAGACACACCCTGTGTCCTCCCTCGGCCGATCCCTTTTTCTCCCACGACCGGACGTCTCCACTCAGGAACGGAGTGAGGGAATCCTCCCGCAACTGGCGGGCGCGCGCTGGAACCTCCTACGCCGATCCAAGCTGTTCGTCCAGTCGAGCCTGGCCTTCAAGATCAAACAGCAGGAGAGGTGGGTTTCCCGGCCAACGCACCAGATATGTTAGGATATCTGATCCTAAGGGGTCCGGTTCCAGTCACCTGCCCCTGCTGGTACCAAGAAGGAGACAAACATACTCCAGGGTGGGATTCACGGAGAAAAAGGCTTTATTGCAAATCTGCGCAGAGGTAGCCAGTGGAATAGTTTCCCAAGACTGGCGCCCCGCTATTGTCTTCCAAGCAGTCTTATACAGTAATTTCAAGCTTGCCCCCAGTTGCTCCCCAATCAACAAGCAGAGATACATTTCATTACCTTATTGGGCTAGCTGAGCCCTCCCCCCCTCCATTGCATTTTGTTTGCTTCTGCGTTAAAAATGTTTGCATTTTGCAGAGCTGAGGTGAGAAGTTAGCTTACCACAAGGCTCACCACACCTGAAGCAGATATGAGCCACTACCGGCCTATCAAGCTGAGTTTCTTTTGCTTCAGCTAAGTATGACTGCAGACAGGAAACCACTGTCTAACCGCAGAGCTAACTTGCAAGCTAGAACAATTGTTTAGCTGAAGCTGGCTAAAAGCACAATGGAGGTTTTACCTTCCCCCATCTCTTCACTCCTCTTCC